TATTTCAAGATATCGCACTAATTTTATCTGACCTAATCTACTCATAATATTATTCAAAGACTAGTTACTTTCATTTGAAGAGTTAACATCATTTAAGCTTAATTTTATTAAATAATAATATTTTGACATTTCAATTCAAATAATCTTATAAAATAAATTACTCTTCTTCTAATAGCAGTATAGTTATTAAAAAAGAAAAAAAGTACAAAATAATTAAAGGAAACAAACATTTCAATTGTATTCTTTTCTTCCGTTATCTTTTCTCAAATTGCTAATGACCTTACACTCCTAATATTCCTCCATATATAACTAAAATTAATTCTCTCATAAACAATAAAAAAATGAAACAACTACTTTCACTGAAGAAAGAACAGCCAAAAGCTTTTTAACTAATATATCTGTTTCATATTGTGATTATTAATAATATGAAGAAAACAAAGAAAACAAAGAAAACAAGAAAAAGTCTAGAATTACAATATTTCGCTCAATTAGCTATCATGACAACAGATTCAAATTAACTTAAATAAAATGAAAACCATAAAAAAAACGAGAAAAAAAAACTGCTTTCATTTTCTTTTAACTCCTCCACTTCCTAGATAGTAATTTTTTTTTTGCCTTATTTTTCCGCAAAACTTAGATTAAGGAAGCTGTATTCAATCCTACTACATAAGGTGTACCCGCAAAATAGTATAAATATAGGTTGTAAGTATAGGCTTAGATGTTTTCCATAAATCTAAGCTAATACAGACTAAGCTGGAATCTACTATATTCAACAGTTAAAATTATATTCTTAGTCGAGTTGATCTTTGATTTACGTTTTGAATGATGCCGATAATTGCAATGTTTTCAAGATTAATTTATTGGAAAATTTATCCATTCGCTAATTAATCCATTCACTAATGTTCTGGGTGCTATTCGATTTTAATTCGATCAAGGTTTTCACTTAATAAAGAATCATTCTTCAAAATATCACACGATTAGAATATTTTGATGTGACTTTTAATTCAATTGGATAATAGTACCAAGCTGGTTAAGATAATTTCGGTAGTTTATTTTTAAGCTGAATTCAGTAATTAATACGTAATGCATATTGTGCCAGAATAATTTCAATTGAAACTTTAATTAACCTAAAAAATACTCCAAAATTATAAATTTGTAAAAATATTTATTCTTTTCCCTCAATCACTCATCATATTTTAAAATACTTTATTGTTGATATGCTACACCCCGTACAATGTAATCATAAAATATAATACATAGTTACATACAAAATCATACATACATAGTATAATACTATAAAATTGAAACAAGGACATTATTTTGTATGATTACTATTTTATTATTATCGTTATTATTATTATTATTATTATTATTAGTACTTTTGTTTTTCATTAAAAATATAAAAATTCGAGCATTCTATTCATCAGTCTGAATTGTCATTTATACAAGGACTTCTTATCTCTATATAATATTATTTATATAACTGTACTAACACTTTTATACTAACATGTACTTATTTTCGTCTCTCTCTTATCCGGATTTATTCTATATATTATAATTTTTTTTTCTCATTATTATTTTGAAATTTTATTGCTAAAGCTTACATTTATTTAAAGGCCGCCATTTATTGTTGTAGGATTATTATAAGAATAAGAGGATTATTATAAGGAGACACAGAAAAACACAAAAACAATAATAATGATATGAGGCTATTTTACTTCCATAATACATGCGACATAGAATGTGTAATAATCGTTTTATATATATACATTATATTAAAAATTATATCTATAACTATACTGCAAAAAAATAAGAGTAAGAGAGTATAAACTACAAATTATTGATGAATAGAGTCTGTTCCAATAAACTACTCTCAGTTATTGAGTTTATTTAATTTTGAAAAACAAAGTTATTTTATTGTTATTACAGCAATGATCAATAATAATTTCATTGTTCTAAGAATGAATTAAATGGCTTTTTGAGCGGAGAGATCGAATACGCTAGAACGGAAATCGACTGTGAACATTTAAATGTAATGTTCTCAAAATACTTTTAAAAGCATATTTCAAATTATAATATTGGTATTATAATATTGTTTCTAAAAGTATTTTTATTTTCTATTATGCAACTGATCGCATAGTTTAAATTATAATAAAATTCAAATAAATCAGTTAGATTTTCAACTTTTTAAAATCTATACTCTCATAATAATAAATGGTAATTAACATGGGGTACCTAAATGTTTTTAAAAATTAAACCTTTTCAGTTTCTTAAAATTTTTTCATTTATTATTCTCGGGAAAGTTTTAACCTATTCCATTGGCATATTTTCAATGATTACCCTAGAAAACGCCCCTATTCTGTGTTTTGTTTGCGATTAAAGACATTAATAAATGTCTACATAATATTATATAAAATATATAAGTATGTATATTGATTTACTGTATACATACTTATATTGTCAATTATCAATTCTACATTATTTTATAAAATGTTGAACATTTTCATTATTTAAATTTATTCTGATTATTCCAGATATTTTTCTTTAACATTCAATTAAGTGGAAAGAAAATTAATTTATACCAACTTAATCTATTCAATTTTAATAACAAAAAAAATACATATTTTATCTAATTATAGAAATAATAATAGATTAAATAGATTTTAATTTGAATTCAATTGAATTTTGGTAAACCAAAAAAAAACGTAATTAAAAATAAAAATTTATTAATATATTATATAAAATTGCATATTTTTAGGGGTAAAATTTGAAATTCAAATATTTAATTAATAACATGCAAATACCCATAAGTTAACAATAATATGACATTGAAATAAAAAAAATATTATAAATTGCGAATACTCTAGCGAATAAAAAATATTGGAATAACTGTTTTATAGGATCATCATTGTATTCTTATTATTTTTCTTCTCACGAGAAGTTACTGAGGAATCTCAGCAGATTAGTGGTGTCTCAGGAGTTCGGTTGCTTCAATTAATTTACTTCATTATTTGTTCATTCGTTCGCTCTTCTTCTTCTTCTTCTTTCTCTTGGTGTAGGCTTGACAGCCTGTTTGTAACTAATTAGCCTCCTGTGAGGTAGAAGTCCAGCTATCCATCCACCTTTTGGGCGGTCGTCCTGGAGGTCTGTTGGTGCCCGGTATTCCTTCTTTGGATATTTTTACGATCCTACTGGTATCCATTCTAGATATATGATCGTTCCAAGCACGTCTTCTTTCCCTCACCCATCTAACCACATCTTGGATTTCTAAAGATTTCCTTATATCAGAACTGCGGACACGATCTCGCAATGTAGAGCCATTAATATTACGTAGAATCGCCATTTCTGCAGTGCGTTTGTTAGTTTTGGTTCTACATGTTTCTGATGTTGTTTCTGCTGCATAAGTCATAATTGGTCTTACACATGTTTTGTAAATTTTGACTTTTGATGTGGGGTTCATGTACTTATTTTTCCATATAATATCTTTCAAACATCCGGACACTCTTGCCGCCTTGCTTACTTGTGCGCGGTTGTCTGCTTCACGGTTTTGGTTTGAAGATATTTCCACTCCAAGATATCTGAAGGACATAACTTGTTCTATTATAATGTCTTTGATGGCTAATTTACATCTGATGGGATCTTTCGATACTACGAGTGATTTTGTTTTTTCCGTTGAGATCACCATGTTGTACTTTTTAGCAGATAAATAAAACCGATGTAATAATCTTTGTAGCTCATCTTCGTTTTCGGATATCAATACAGCGTCATCAGCGTAACATAATATTTTGATTTCACCTTTGTTTGTTCTGAAACCATGACCTGAGTTTTTTACTTCCGCTATTATTTGATCCATTACAAGATTAAACAGAAATGGACTCAAAGAATCCCCCTGTCTAATTCCTGCCGATATTGGAATTTCGTTCGATAGCTCGTTGTTTACCAGCACGTGAGTTGTTGTGTTCATGTTTAGTTCCTCGATGATTTTAATGATGTTTGGAGGTATGTTCTTGTTGTTCAGAATCTTCACAATATCCCCTAGCTTAACTCGGTCGAATGCCTTTGTTAAGTCAACGAAACACATGAAAGCTGGTTTTTCAAACTCTATGGATTTTTCAACAATTTGACGTACAACAAATATCGCATCGATTGTGGACCTGTTTTTACGGAAGCCTTGTTGTTCTTCGCTCAATGAAATTCTTTCGGTTAGAAGTTTCTCGAGAATTTTCGTAAATAATTTCATCACTGCGCTGAGTAAAGTTATTCCCCTGTAGTTTTCTAATACGTTTTTGTTCCCCTTTTTGAAAATGGGTATAGTGATACTTTTCCTCCAGTCGTTCGGTACTATTCCATGGTTAATGACGTTTTGGAATAGTAAAGTCAATTGTTCGTATAGGTATTCGCCACCATATTTTATTAACTCATTATAGATGCCATCGTGTCCGGCTGCCTTACGATTTTTCAAATTTTTGACTGCCTGTGTCACGATTTCAACACTAATTGGTGTGTCTGTACCTCTAGGAAAAATAGTTTCAGCTACATATTGTTCCATGTCATTATATAAACTGTGGAAATATTTTTCCCAATATTGCGTGGATATACTTTGTGTTTGTGTGTATTCATTTACTTCTCGCTTCTGACGTCTGAGCATTTTCCAGACCTTTTTTTGGGAGCCGTATAAGTCTCTTTCCATGTCTGCAGTGAATGCTGCCCAGTAATTTTATTTTATTTTTCGAATGCTACTATTCACACGATTTCTTGTTTCCCTGTATTGTTGGTAATTTTCAGGTATACGATTGCTGACGTAGTTAATAAAGGCTACACGTTTTTCCTTTGCCAAACTCTTAACTTCTGCATTGTACCATGGTGTGTTTTTTAATTTAGCATTCGAGTTTACAGTTCTTGTGCCTAGAGCTTCATTGGCCGCGTTTATTATGTTATTCTTTATTTTTTCCCAACTTGATTCTACTTATAGATATTTTACGGATTCGTTATTTAAAGCTTCAATGTTTAGTTTTTCGCGAAGCATTGATTGTCTTTTCTTTTTTAATTTTATAGACAATCTTATTTTTGCGAGAACCAAGTTGTGATAGTGAACGTACATCTAGTATTATGTTTGGATGAATTGCTCTGTTTGTTATTATATAGTCTATTGTAGATGTGGAACCTCTTGTGTTTGACCAGGTTATTTTGTGTTGTTTTTTGTGATTGAAATATGTGTTATTTATTCTTAATTCGTTATTTGCACAGAAAAGTGTAAGTTTTATGCCATTTTCGTTTGTTTGATCTTCACTGAATCTTTGCTTGACCCCATCTACGACATTATTTCCAACTCTTGCATTCATATCCCCAAGAATAAATGTTTTTTCACCTGTTGGGATTTTGTCAATTTCTTTTTGCAGGTTTTCGTAGAAATTGTCCGTTTCCTCTTTTTTTCTACTGGAATCTGGTGCATACACACTTAGAAAGTGGATTTTTTCTTTACCAATATCTAACACGACTTTTATGATTCTCTCGTCAACATAATATGTATCCTCTATGTTTGGTATGAGCTTTGTGTTAATTAAAATACCTACTCCTGCTACGGCTCTTTTAGATTTTGCAATTCCGCTATATTTGAGGATGTAATCGGTGTAAGTTAATTCGCCCTTACCCTTACGTTTTGTCTCCGAGATAGCGCATATATCGATTTTATGCTTTTGCATTTCAAGCAGTATTTCATGCTCTCTTCCGGCCCATGAGCGTATGTTCCAACATGCACATCTTAGATCTTTAGAAATTCGTTTTTGATGTTTAATCGTAATCCTTGTACTTGCCATAGTCGTTGCCGTGTTATCAATCCTTATCCGAGGCTTTTTAGGTCTGTGAGCTATTTTTGTTTAAGGTCAACGACAGCTTGCTGGGCCCAACGTTGACCGTGTCGCATCTAACATTTAGCCGATCATCAGGATCGTTGCCCGGTTGGTACCACGTGGAGGTATGTTAGACACTTAGTGGACTCTACATAGTTGCGACGCCGGAATATAGCACATAATTAATTATGCCTATAGACGGTCGGCGCCTACCCTATTGAGACACACCCACCAACCCATTCGTTCGCAAGCCTCATAATTTATTCATCTACATAAATATTTTAAATCTAAATAAATACTTTTAGTAAATATTTATGTTTATTTTTTTATGCTCTTAATAGTCGACGATAACAAAACTTTCTAATGCTTTTGTCCTTTTCAAATAACAGCATTTCAGTATTTTTATTTTAAGTTGGAAATTAAAATTATGTATGTTGTTGAATTAATGCTGCTTGTTGAATTCTAGCTCACATTTTGTCACTTTTTGAAACATTGTAATACACTTATAATGTACAGGCTTTTAACACAAAATATAAGACAAATACTTTATTTTTGGTAAAATATTCACAAAGTCCCCCTTGCTAATGGTCAATATCATTAATTTTCATAAGTCTAATCAACTGTTTAAAAAAATAGTTTATATTTTTTTTGTGCCTTTGTTGTAAAACAGAAAATCTTTCCTTAAGAGATCTTTGTGGCTAATGAACAATTACAATTCCCATTTTTATAATTTTCAACTGATTTCAATATCAAATTTACAACCTAGAGTAATTTATTATTTAGAATTTGACAACATAATAATAATATATGTAAATAATATTTAAAAAATTTCTTTTTTTAACACTTTCACATCAAATTTCATCTTTCGAGTATTTTATATTTTATTTGTATTTATTTGAAACTCATTTAATTCTCAAAAGAATAATTTATTAGCTGGTTTCATGAGATTTTTCTATTAAAAGAAATTTGTTTTCATTCATAGCATCCATGAGAATTGAGAATTGTAAAAAAAAAAAAGAAACCAACAAACAAGAAATCTTTGCTTCGGGTTTTGATTTTAATGTTAAAAACAATGCCCGATATTATAAGAAAAACTAGAAAATATAAAGCATATAGCATTAAGAAAAATTCCTCTTGTAATCCCACAGGAGTATACCATTTAACAGACTTCTCTTCATATTTACAAGAAAATCTTTCAAAAAAAGAAATTCGATTTTTATTTGGTTTTATTTTGTTTTCTTATAAAATAAAAGGATTTAAAATTTCCTTGATCCTTTATTCATTTTTACAAGTATATTTTATGATTATAACTTTATATGTTTTATAAACAACGATAAGAAAAAGAAATGAATGAATGATGGTTGATTGAGTTGAAAAATGATTTTATTCCACAATTATTGAATTGCATATAATTTTTGACAATACACATTTCAGTACATTGCATATAATATAGTCAGTCAGCTAGTCTTACAAATTAATTAGGAATAAAATATTTAAAATATCAAATTCTTGTCAGTTGATTAGAAGGAAATCAAAAGGATTAACAATAATTGTAATACAAAATAATATTATAATTATGAATTCGAAAGTGGACTTGTAAGGTTTTCAAATTTAAAACAAAAAAATAAAAAAACTTTAATAGTTTTGTGGCAATCAGGTAATCACTGCCTTACTCAGAATCATAAAGTAAATCCTTTAGCCTCAAATAAATCAAGTTAAAACTATTTTTAGAAAAACTTTTGAGGTCGTAGTTTCAAAATGCTCATACTAAAAATTTTATATTAGGAAATTGTAGAAAAATATAATATAAAATATCTTAGTGATAGAAAATTGAGTTAGTTTTTTTTTCACCCATGCTACATTCATTTCAAATTTTCAAAACATTATTTCCAATTATACAACATATTATTCACTTTTATGGAATTAAGGGAAAGATGTCATCGTTAGTAGAGACCCTGTCGTGCATGCAATGTGATATTCTGTTTAGCATTTTGCAAGGTCTTTGCCGGATCAATGATAACGCAACTCATATGCGACTCACTAATTTTAGTACGTAGGAAGAATAAGAATTTTAAAATATTTTATTATTTTCAACACGTTGCAAAGCCGCCAAAAAAATCTACAAATTATAAAGGTTTAAGACACTGACAAGCGGAATACTACCCCAACTTTGAATAAAACGCAGCATGAACATGTAAATTGAACCTTTAGGGGATATAGATTATTAAAAGGTGAAATAACGTTAAAAAATATAAAGAAAAAATATATCAATATAGGGTGATTTTCCAGTTTTCGGACGAATAACTTTTTTTTGACTTTGGAAGGTTGTCACTCTGCCAAAATAAGATGTGCGGTTGTAAAATCACATTTTTCTTAAACTTTACCAAATTTACTATGTAAAAAAGCTCAGGTTGATGACATTTTTGTGAATGGTATATAAAATATTTAGGTTTAAAAAAAAAGTGTCAAATTTTCCAGTTTCCAGACATAAAATTCTATTATTCGGACAGGAAAATTTTAGTTTCCGGACAACAAGAATTTCTCTCAGGTTTTTAATAATATAAGTAAAAAATTGTGTTTATAGAAAGCACATATTTTTCGAGAATTAACTCGAGTTTATTCTTTGAGTTCAGACTTTTATTCAAAATAAAAACAAATACTTTAACAATTCATAGTACATTAGTATAAAAAACAAAAATATTAACTTTTACATAACGATTCTGTTTACATAGATTTAACTGTATATTATAGTTTTTAACATATTTAAATAAATAATTACATTATATTATATATTATTTATGTATATCTTTTACATGTTAGCCTTTGGAATTTTTTTTGCATTAAAATTAGTGTATTATTCCTTTTCCTTTTTTAAGGAAACGTTTTTATAGTTAGATTTTTTATATTTTCTCTTGAGTTCAGATTTTTTAACTGAAAGCTCCCTTTTCTGCAATCTTTCCAATTTTCTTTGTTTAATTGCATCAGCTTTTTGAATTTTTTCCTGTTCCTTTTTGGCATAAATCTCTCTCCATGCTGAAGATGAGATAGCACTTGGAGAACGATCTTCTGTCTTATTTTTTCTTTTTGAATAAAAGCTATATAATTTTGGATAAAACAAATGTTTTTGCAATGAGCGAGAGGATGATGGTCGACTTATTGGGGTTGTTGGAGAAGTCAACAACTTCTTTTGGTGGTCTAATGTACGGGAATATTACCATTGGGGGTAGAACTTTGCCATCAGCTGTGCAAACGAAAAGCACTGTCAAAGTTTCCTTTTCGTTCCCCGTTTGTATTTGGTATACATTTTTATATGATTTGGGAGCAATAACTTTGCCTGTTTTTGGGCACAAACTGAAGCTCGTTTCATCACCATTTATGATCCGCCTAGGGTCATTTAGTAAAGTAGTTTGACTTATACTCTCAAGAAAAATTGAAAGATCTTGAAACCATTTTTTGATATACTCCTCTGTAACAACAGCACGACCCTTGTTGATATTTTCTGCTTCCTTCAACGATAACCCTGGATTTCGTCTGAAAAAACCACGAAGCCATGTTCTACCAGGACGTCCATTTTTGAATGGATTTGCTCGTCCAGTGTGCTTCAAAATTTGTTCCACTGTATTAAGCAAATCATCAACTTTAAGTGGGAATCCACATTTGCTTAGTTTTCCACACCATTCAGCTATTTGTAATTCTTCGTCTTTAGTGAGAACAGGATCTGGACCTCTAGTTGTGGGACCTTCTGGGGTTTTGCGCTTCAATTTGTCATGCAGTGTTGAGCGGGGTATCCCATATTTTTCTGCTGCGGCTCTAATACTTATTTTATTATTTCGGATATTTTCTAATGCAGCTCCTGTTTTATTTCCGGTATCTTTCGCACAATTCGATTGACTATTTGTTGAATTTTGATTAATTTTGTCCCCGTTCATTTTGCTGAAGAAGTTGGAAACGAATTGGTAAGACGGCGAAAAAATTTAATGTAAATAGGTTTCTTTAGCATAGTAAAAAGAGGTTGTCCGGAAAACAAACAGTGCTATGTTACATATATACTAATTTTCGGACAAGTAGCCATATTTGTTTTTTTCGCGTCCGAAAACTGAATTTTTACGAATTTAAAGGCTAAAAATTTGAAAGTAACTTTAAAATATGCAAATTTAAGTTATCATGCATAAAGATTTGTCAAATTGTAAATTTCGTAATTTTTCAGTATTCGGACAATCGTGTCCGGGAACTAAAATTCATGTAATTTTTTAGTTTTAGAAAGCGGACTATTAATAATAAAAATAATATTTAACATTTTAAAAAAAACAAACCTTTTAAAAGTTAATTGAATGTTTCTCCAACACAAATATATAATAATATCACACAATTTTATAAAAAATAACTTAAAAACTTACTTTTTCCGTCAACTTGTTTGTTATTTTTTTTTTAGAAAATTTGCACTTTTATCACTTACTACTCAACCTTCTCACTTTCAAGACAACTTTCAGACTAATAATGTACAGTTTATTAAAATATTATTTTACAAAATGACGGAAAATAATGAGACGAAACAAAAATGTTAATGGATTTTTGGTGTAGCTTTTGAAATTTTCTTATTATTTAAAAAAAACCACTAAAGTGTCCGAAAACCGGTGAGTGTCCGGAAACTAGAAAATTACCCTAAGTTGAACTTCAATTTCAAAATCTTTTTTAATAAAAATAGAAGAATTTTCGAATATAAAAATTTTAATAAAGCCGACCGCAGTTCAACCACAAAAATCAATACCCCTTCTATACAATAATTAAAACATTTTTATAGAAATAAAAAATCTAAACCTCTTCTATAGAAATATTTCTATTTTAATATTACTATCTGCATATGATGCAATGGCAATTGCACTGGTCCTTTAACAGAATGGTCTCGGGTGAGCCCAGTCAGGTCACTATAAAAATTATATTCAATATTATATAACTTTATACAAATA